GAGAAATAACTCTATTTCTCTTTGAGAGTATAAAACTGAACTTTTGAAATCCATTAAAAATGGTAAAAAGGAGCAAGCTACTTCCTGGGCCAACCACTTACAGCCACCTTGTTGTAAAGAGGCAAGTGTATAGGTCTTGAGACATTACTCATTTCTGTAAATAATCCAAGGACCTAAAAAAAAAACCCATTTCTTCTCTAGACTGAGAAGGAAGGAAGGGACTGTTATTATTCATATTGTTACACACTTGGAAGAGCCTTACATACTTGGAAGATCCCATAAGTGTGAAAGGAAGAACTGGAAAGAGACAGTGAGAGTAGGGATTCTATTGCTAACCAGATAATAGCTATTTTGTACTTACTGTACTAATATACATCTGTAAGAGCTGCCCATTCTCAATTTTAATGACCTGCAATTAAAGCTCTGTGTGTGGCAAAAACTTAAATACAGTTTTAGCACTCAGCACCTTCCTGAGCATGCTGCCATTTACTGCAGTTCTCAGAATTTCCTCTTTCACCTTGATGACAGGCGCCACGCAGGCAAGGGCGGGGCTCCGGATGGCGCAGCCCATCGCAGAGGGGCTCGCTCTGGGGGGCTCCCCAGGAGTTAACGGACGCCGGGTGCACCACGGCCGGCGCCACCACGCTGCGGGGTCGCTGCAGCCTGGGGGCGCACCCTCCAACGACCCCGTGCTTGACAAGTCCAGACGAAGGCACCGCAGACCCACACCACAAACATCTCGGCGCCGCGGAGCCATTCCCCGCAGAACGACCCGTTAACGGGCGCATTGTTGCCAGCGGAGCAGCGCTGCGGCTGAGCACTGGGTCGTCTGTTGACGCGCGCGCTGCTGTTGCCTAGAGCCGCACGGCTTCGGTATAGCTGGGGGCTGGCATGGTGCTGACTGGCTATAAAAGGGAGTAAGCCGCGTACGCTTGCGTGCACTCGGCCCCACCGTCAGCTGGCCTGCGCACCCGAGCACCCACCCGTCGGCGGGGACGCCCCTGGTGCCAACGGCGTGGTGAGGCCAAGCCGGGGAAACTAGACCGGAGGGGCGGCCCGTAAGGGGCGAGAGCGGTCGCTGTACCGGGCACCCGTGACCGAACTGTAGAGCGCCGATACGTACACGTATCTTCAGTTCCGTCATGTTTCTAGCCTTGCTATGCTTTTAGCTTTGTTGTAACCTCTTATCTCTAACGAGGCCCCGTAGTGGCGCGTCACACCTTTCTGTGGCTCCATTACCCACAGTGCCCATTCGTACACCAGCATGGTAAGAGGGTTAATTTTTCTGAGAAGCTTTTCACTCAAAAGAGATCTAGGTATCTCTTTTCTTGTATATCCTCCAAAGAGAACTTGCTGGGGTTTTGGACTGACATTTTTTGGTGCTATACAAATTCCTCTCCAAATTTGGATGATCTTTAACAACTTGCCTTTTCTTTTCACAGAGGATATCCATTTTGTCCTAACATCATAAATTCTCAGCACTTTATTCAATTCTCCACAGACAGCAAGGAAAAGATACAAAATTGAAAACTTGCTTAAATTCTCAAGTGTATGTAGTTGTTTCAGGGCTTCCAAATAATTCACTAGCTTTCTTATTTTATCTCCAGACATAAAAATAGCTTGGGCACATTTAGAAGATGAATTTACTGCAGTTTAGTATCATTCTTAAAAATATCTGTCAATGCCATAATTGCTTGCAGTCTGAATACCTTTTCCAGTTTGGTTTCAATGGTGTAATTAAAGTAATATCCAATGGAACGATTATTTAAGAAAGTCAAGGTACTGAGTTAATACTGATTACCAGAGAGTAAGTAAGTCTATCTATATATCTAGATATGTCAACAGTAATTCTCTCTGTTCATTGTCTGATAATACACTATTGTGGGATTGCATTAGACCATCTTAGCATATTTCTTTCATCACTTTTCATAGCCTTGTTGACATCTCATCGTAGAGTAGAGATGTTCAGGCAGTTTTGTGAGTTGTTAACTAATTTGCCAAGGTCTAATTTTGTGAGTCATCAGCCCTATTCATTATAATGATTTGAGCAGTATTTCATTAAAATTCCTGATCCTTAAACCAATGTTAGCTTGAGTTTTCGATCAATGGTGAATGCAACAAATTTATTATCTGCAAAGAAATATCATGGTTGCCTCTAGACTGCAGACCAAGTCACACATGAAACGTGATAATAACAGAAGGAACAAAAGCATCACGATCCAACAGCAGGTTGACAGAGAGAATAAGAGACCTCCCATATCCCAGCAGAGAATTCATTTGATCAATTCATAAAGAGCAAAGATTCACAGTTTTGTCCTCAGTGTCTTGTGTATACAACTCAGTCATCATGTACATATGCTGTAAAAGGCTGATTACAAATTTGTAATCATTCATTAAGTTTGATCTTCTTGAACATCAGCTGTTCAGGGTTAGGTTTGTTTAGTAAGTAATTACCAAGAATAAACTTTTTTCCCTCAATTCTTTCTACTGCAAACTTCAGACAACAGACCCAGAAAGCATTTCAGTGAAGAAGTCCAGGTGAAATGGTTGCAAGCAATGGCCCGCATAATGTTATTACAAGCTCTGAGTAATACGAATGTACCAGTGAGTAGGAGTCCTGGCACTTCTCAAACATTTGGGGACAAATTTAATCAGAATCTAGAGGGTCTGATGAATTTAACTCCTTGTCGCTCTTTAGATTTTCGATTTCAAAATACGTTTAGCAGTAACAATTAATAACATCGTAGGAAAAGTTGCACAAAATAGAAAAGGAAATTTTTTTTCTCAGTGATGCTGATACAGACATAAACAGAAAAGTGCTGGAAAGTTGTCCTCCACTATAACTCTGTATTATAGGCTAACTCCACGTATATATCCTGCTTCAATTGTATA